TACCTGGCGACGATAAGGTTGAAATTATGAGACCAAATGTTATCGCAGCTGCCCCCGCCGGGAGGAATGTGGCCCAGCAGATGCACGTGCTCCCCGGCCAGTTCTGCCGACGCCAGCTGCTCGACCAGCCACTGCAGCTGCTCTGCTGGGTCGTCGTTCTCCAGTAAGAGCCACCTGTAAAATTTTGGTTTACAGGTGAGAAGCGCAGTCACTGAATACTGCACTTATCAAGGTCCGTCTCTTGTAATGAAATGGAACCATGCTAACTTTCAGCAAGAAAGATTTGATGGAGAGTAATGACACGGTACTTAAACCATGCCTCATTATTCATTTCTTTAGACTAATAATCTCATTACACATTTTTTTTTTTTTTTAATCTAAAGGGTCGCACAGTAAGAATCAACCATTTATAATTTTGTTGCAAAAGTGCTCTAGTATCAATTGTTATCATTACTGACAGTGATTTTCCTGTCTTCATTTACGTAAACAAATTCCTTCAGTCTCCCTTTTCACTGCAATGGAAAACTTATATATTTTGAAACCACATTATGGGAATATAACATCATAATTATAAACACATCTAACATTAGAATAAAATAACGCACTAAAACTGTGAATTGCTTTCCCTGATTAATCGTCTCCCTAAAAAAAAAAAAAAAAAAAAAAAAAAAAGAGAGAGAGAAAAAAGTACAGCCCATGTTGACTGTGAGAACTGGGCTGAGGTGAGGGCAAGGGCGGTAAAGTCTCTGGAGAGATATAAAACTTGTGTTAAAGCTGGCCGTCAAGACTCTAAATGGCGTTTGTAGGAGACGCAACACACGGGAGCGCCTGTATGTGCTCACCTGTTTGTCTTGTTCAGCATCTTTGATGTTTTCCGTCTTTGTAGAGTTTCCCTTTCCAGTGTAATAGTATGGATTTTGTTTTGATATTTTCTGTATATTCGTGATCTCGTGTGCCACTATCTGCATGTACTCCGATAAGAATACAATTTTGCAATACAATTTTTTTGTTAGGAATAGCCGTATTTTAGAGATGTCATTAAGGCGAAATGTTTGCGATTCATTTGCATGCACTCACATAATGTGCCAGTAAATTGTCAAACACTATATTTTGGTGCTATTGAATGTCATTTTGACAAAATAGAGGTAAATTTTATTTCAAACACTTAAAGAATCATTATGCAGTGTGTAGTTAAAATACAAACTTCTTTTACGTCCTTTACTTTAAACATTAAAGAAAATTGTTATACAAAAGAACTCGTGTATATAAGAAGAACTGCTTATGGTACACCGCATAAAAATTAACTTGGTTGAACTTTCTTATCCTTAAAACTTAATACTAATGACGAGGGGAATGCAAATGCTGGCACGAAGAAAAAAATAATAGAACTGCAGTGATTGTGTGTTACATACACACACACACACACACACACACACACACACACACACACACACACACACACACACACACACACACACACACACACACACACACACACGCACACACACATATATATATGAATATATATATATATATATATATATATATATATATATGCATTTGTATATGTATATATATATAGATAGACAGATAGACAAATAAATACATATATGTCTACAAACACATACATACATATCTATCTATCTATATATAGATATATATACACATATATGTATGTGTATATATATATATATATATATATATATATATATATATATATATATATATATATATATATATATTTGTATGTGTATACATATCTATGTATATAAAATTTATATATATATATATATATATATATATATATATATATATATATACATTATATATATATATATATATATATATATGAAATCTTACCGACATTCTGAAGTTTCCCGACTCTGGTATCGTTACCCACAGTTCCTCATGGCCAACGCCACATCCTTCAACAACAAAATAAACGGGTATTATATCCATCACAGAGGCTTGGCAGATCCAAGCTTATACCATACATATACCTGACTACAGAATGTTCCATCGTCTCCGTACAAACAACGGGAGGAAGGATCATGGTAGCCCTCCCCCTTAATGTGGAAGTTCCGGAGGAACACACCACCCCCGTCTCGCCACGTCTTTCATCTGCTGTGTGTTATACCACCCTCCACGAGCTGCCACCAAACAGCTGCTACTCCGCCACCTGACCTACACCGCTGACCTTTTGCTTGAGCGATATGCATGATGAATCATGTGGTGATATAAATGAAATAGACATCCTTTACCTGAAAACTCAGCTTCCCCTCTCACAAATAGTTAACTTTCCCACTTATGAGCAAAGGACTGGTACTAGCCTCCTCTACCATATTCTCCTGTCAATTGCAGCAAAAATGTATCAATGTTATGGATGCCTTCACACTCTCTCAGCTAAAGCAGACCAAGACCAGGAAATACAGGCCCCTCATACAGTCCTCTATCATACAGTTTGGACACCCGTGGATAGACGTTCCCACCAATGATGTTGCAGCTGAGAAATCAAGATTTGCACTCGCAGCAGCACAATTCGTTCGTCACCAGCATCTTCATAGATTTCAAGAAAGCCTTCAACTTTGTGATCCACACCACAGTCCTCTCAAAAGCAGCAGCTTCCACGGGCATTTGGGAGTACTTCATTTCCTGGCTGGCAGACTTTCTCTCTAACAGGCAACAGACCGTGTACATGCAGTATCAAATTTCCAGCCCCCTGCCACTCACGTGCAGAGCCTCCCAGGGTAGTAGAATGGTACTGCTTTCTCACCATGGTTAACCCAATGTCAGCGGGTTTATGTACTGTCCCCTTTAAATTTTAGTGAGTTTTGTTACATACAGACTGCTCCACATGTGCTCAGCAGCAAAGAGTCTATCAGTTGGCCCAAGTGACCGATATTGATTTCACCATTCCTTGAATTGGCGGAAAAATGCGTTTTTCTTTCCAATACTACTAATATTGACATTGTTATCATTCTTATTGATATTATGATTATTAAGTTGTTATTAACCCATTGCCGCCAGCGAAAATAAATAAAAATGGGGAGAATGTTGTGCTCATTTTTTAATATTTTTGTGAAATGTCTCTGTACACAGAGGGCTCTGCTAGCGCTTAGCCACAAAGGAGTCAATTAGTAGATCTTGTGACCTTACCTGATTTCACCTTTCCTTGAATCGGTGGGAAAAACGTATTTTTTACTAGTGCTATGAATATCGATCGTGTTAATCTGTTATAAACATTACAATTACTATAATGTTATAAACATTTGTAACAGCAAAATAAGATAATGTAAAATACTTTCGTAAATCAATGAAAAGGGCAGTACTCATAACTGGCTCATTGATGACTTAGTACAAGTGTAGCCATCTATGTGTAAAACAATTAAACAAGTAAACTCAGAGTGGGTATGGCATGGACGTACGTGGCATGCCCGTCGGCAATGGGTTAAAATATTAATAACATCAATAAAAGACAATAACATAATAGAAGTGAAGCTTTTAAAAAAATGAAGGGAAAGGGTAAAAAGATGAGATAAATAAGGCACTTTAGTTTTGCCACCTACTGACATTTATTGATAGATCTTTAACATTTTAAATATTTTAACATTTTAGTCCCACACGATATTCGCCGCTAATGACGTTAGCTGTTGACGGGGTAGGTCATTTTGAATTGTCAAGATCAGAGAGACGTAAGAGACGAACCCCTCCAGCAATACAAGTGAAACCCAAGAAGACCTGCAGCTCTCAGCGGCCCGCGCGATGAGAAAACGACTACATGCAGACGAGATACATCACAGACTATCAGCCTTCAAAGAGAGTTTGAGCCAATGGCATTGCAAAGGTCGCCTCAAGCTCCAGCTCCATATTTATGAAACTGAGACAAATTTTCATATTGAATATTGCCGTATGCATTATATTTCATGTCCTAATATTCATTAACATTATTTACTACTCAGATATGGTAAACAAAATATCAAAAATTTCGAGGAGTGGCTACATAACCTGTAATATGTGCACTTCCTGCATGACATTGTTGACTCGTTGAAACAGAGATTCAACTGTGACAAATATGCTACCTACATTTTTATACCTTACCGAAAATAAACAATCAATTGCCTTACTTGGCTTCAATTAATAAAGAAAAATAAATATATTAGTTATTTCTAATCAACCAACCACATGTTTTTGCCAGATGTACAAAAGTGGGACCAAGCAAGTGAAACAGAATTTCGCAAATGTACAACGATACACGTCTGTACTTACCAGTTCTGAGTATTGCAGTAATTCATATTGACAGACAAGATCCTCAGTCCTGGCACTGGAGAGTACGAAAAGTAACCACCTTTCCGTAAATCTGGCAGTGCCTCTTCGGGTAGCCATGGCGCCCACATTTCAGCTAAACTGTCGTACAGCCAACCCATGCTCCAGCCATCAGCATATGCAGATGGAACAACATAACTGAAGAAAGAATAGCCTTAAGGCGTCTTCTGTGTGCATCATAAAAGTTAATTCTGGTTTAGAGTTTAATCCAAATCCACAGTACTTACACCGAAGATGCAAGACTCACTGCCAGGGGCACAAGTCAATGCGTTTATCATTAAATTTGCTGTTTTACATGAAAAAGCAGGTATCTGTGTAATAGTAATTAGCATTCACCCTCAACAAGTTTCATATAATACACTAATGTTGACCACAAAATGTTTGCTACAGAGAAAAATATATAATTACACACTTGAATTATATCTGTCAGTACAAATGAAATATATAGATAGTTCCAAATCGCCTCTAAATTTTATAGACAATTGAAATGAAGGTGTCTAACAAAAATAAGATGCTCGTAAAATTAATTTATATTCACTTGAATTTCCTCCGAGAGCGTTCTCGTGTGTGTTGCTAGGATCATAATAACAAATGTCCAACCGGTTTTGAAATAACTGTAATTTAAAGGCTCAGGAAGTTTGTGCTTTGAATTTGAACCTAATCATGATGTTATTAAAAGCCTTTTCTGTGTCTGTAATTATCTATGGGAATCTTATTTCGTTTTTCTTTTCACTGTTTAGTATTATCTCTGGTGTTTGAATATCCTACAACTGATGAATAAAAATTAATGGCAACTGAACTCCATCTTTTCTCCGGAGTTGTTGAGGTTGTCAAGTTAATCTGCCATTGCGCATGCGCATTAGAGACCTGAATAAAACTAACTATTATGGCATGTACAAAAGACACCCTTTGAGATAAGATCTTTGATTACTCAGTAGAATGTATTAGTATGACTATGATGATTAGGAATACCTTAATGAACACACAGCAAATACGTTTAACAGCTCCATCTCTCATTTTCCACTGTCTCTTTTCGTCTCTATCAATTTAGATGTCTGGATAATAAGACATATATGTATCCCTTAATATGTGGATGTTCATATCATATCTCTATATAATGATTAAATACCAATGTATATGTACATATATCACACAACCATCACCCACTGTCAGACTAACAGCACAGGTATTAAACCCCACCCACGGCCTTCGACAAGGATCACCCAGCCTCGAACAGCCCTTCCACATTCCCCTTCATCGTTTCCTTTTCTCCCTACTGAGACACGGCACTTGGCTTTCTCCTCCCAGTACGACTCACACTTCACGGGGCCAACTCTGGATTAGCAAATACAAACGAGACGGAAATGAATAGTTCCGCAAGATGGAATCAAACCCTGCAGACGACCTTCTGGAATTCACAAGATTATTAGAAAAATCCTGCGACATATTTTGGTCCAGTTGAATGCTAAAGTCCTTGCTCACAATTCCAGTCACTCTTTTTTTTCATCCGTCTGAATTAACAGGTGGATAATGCCGTTTGCCGCCTCGCTTACCTGTTAACGGGCGCAGATTCGTGATTTCCTACAGTGTACAAGATGGGCACGTCAGGGAAGTGCCTGGCAATGAGCTGCACGGACGTGTTGATGGCCAGCAGGTTGGTGGCGTGGCTCTGCGCCCACACGTCATGGGGGGGGAGGTCGCCCGTTACGTAGCTAAGGAACCGAAGTTACGGTCACTGGTATTAATACGAAAAGCTTATCATTGGTTAATCTGAAGGCAGTGAAGATGAATTGTTCTGTAGACAGTTACTTGTGTTTGCTTGGATTCAAAAGCCAGGTCTTGGAAACGGCAGCATTTAGTGAAAACAAAACGTCTTTACCATGCTATTGACACACTAGTTTGCAAAAACTATTATATTAACGGGGTGCACGACTCACACAAGGTCAGGCTTCGTGTGCGCCGCTTGCTCGAGGAGGTCGACCAGAGTGCGCAGCGGGATGTCGCACTTGGCCAAGGCGCCCCAGCGCCCTGCCGGCTCCTCTCCTGGCCCAGGGTCGCCGTAGGTGTGGCGGCAGCAGCTAGGGTGGGCGCAGTGCACAGCACTGCCCTCGTCGTAGAGCAGGTCGGCGTGCAAGTCAGACAGATGCAAGATCCTCACCACACCATCTGTTGGCTGCCACGGAAAGTACGCTGACAATCTTTGGCCATTTTTACATGCTCAGACAGGTCTGCCTTTACTTAATTTATGAATGAAACACAGAGCATATAATTTATCTTAATCAAAGAATACTTGCTTTGGTCTCTAGGTTAGGAGGTGATCAAATCTGTTGGGATATGTATGAGTCCGGATTTTATTATCATAACACAGGTGACTCCCCTTGTCCCTTGGGTACGAGGGATGTCAGGCAAAGCGACGAAGTAATTAAACTAATCGCGGGATTATAAGGCAGAAGAATCTTGAACCTCCCTTGACGAATGTGAAAGGCCGATAATGGGAATCTGATTCGTTATTTTCTTCCTTTTCTTAGCGTGCTTCCTTTTCCTTCACAATGATTTGTTTATCTGCCATTCTTGTGTAATTTCAGTTTAAAACAAATGATTATAGTCTCCAGTAATACTAATCCAACATTATGTGCATGAGCATATATATATATATATGTATATATATGCATATACACATATGCATATATACATAGGCTTGTGGGGGAAAGCCCCAGGGAACCCTGCAGATGGATTATGGGACCTGCAGCCAGCCCCCTCCCCCCCCATCCCACCCATATGGGGTGGCGTCGATAGGGGTGGCAGAGGTGGCGCCCACCCGGAGTAACTGCCCGAGGTTAGACCTCAGGCGGGCTGTCAAGGTGGGGACTTGGAACATCCATTCCTTGCGTCTGGACGATCAGTTACTGTCGAGGGAATTGAAGCAACTGAGAGTTGAAGGGGCTGCTCTCTCGGAGGTGGTATCCGGCTGCAATCAAGCTGGCTATGAGATGTCTGTCGGTCTTCATGGCTCAGGAGCTGATGCTGGCAGCGAGAATAGCCTCCTTTTCCGTGACTTTGCTAGGTCCCAGAAATTGAGGATTTCTGGCTCCTGGTATCAGCACTCTGACCCGCATCATTGGACTTGGTACAGTGATATAGGGTGTGTGGCCAAAGAGATCGACATTCTCGTTAGCACTCCATGGAAGGTCCTCCAGAGGGGTGTATCGGAGTCCCAAGTTCTGTGGAACTGATCATAGATTAGTTGTAGCTATTTTCCTGGTCCATTTTGGAACCCCCCGTCGCTCTAATGAACACCTTAAGGTGCTTCATGCGGACAGATTGAGGGAGAATGAGTATGCCCAGGGTTTTGCCGAGGCTATCTCTGGTCGTTTTACAGCACTCGAGGGCCTGATGAACCCTGTTCTTCTGTGGGACATCTTCAAGCGTGAAACGCTTGATGCAGCCCAAGAATAGTTTGGTGAACGCCCAAGAGCTAGACAGAATTCCATCTCGCAGGAGACACTGGAAGCCACAGAAGCTTGTCGTGTGGCTCGATTGTCAGGGGATCACAACTTGCACTGTTCTCTGGTGCAAAGGACTAGGTCACTATTGAGAAGGGATAAGGAACAGTTTATCAGGAATATAGCAGAAGAGGTCGAAAGCCATTACCTAGTGAATGACCTTCGTCCTGCCTACCAAGCCCTGAGAAAGCTGAACTTTAAGCCTGCTCAGCAAGTGGCCAGATAATCTCAGATCCTGATGGGGGTGCATGTGCATTGGGCTGAGTATTTTGAGCAGTTGTATCAGGTTGATCCACCAAAGTTAAATTGGCTGCGGGTAATGTTGAGATTCCTCTGCCAGACCCACCCATCGGCGAGGATCCACCTTCCCTGACTAAAGTCAGGGGGGCGATTGCCAAGCTAAAGAGTGTTAAAGCAGCAGGCGTTTGTGGCATCCCTGTTGAACTGTTAAAGGCTGGTGGAGAACCTATGGCAACGGGCTTGTATGCAGTCCTGTCTGCCATCTGGCAGACTGGTACCATTCCCCCTGGCCTGCTGAGGGGCGTGGTCATCCCTCTCTGGAAGGGGAAAGGGGATCGGTGGGACTGCAGCAATCACTGAGGCATTACACTACTCAGTATACCAGGCAAGGTACTTGCGCACATCCTACTGAGATATATCAGAGACCACCTGCTGAGGCACCAGAGGCCGGAGCAATCTGGATTCACTCCTGGTAAGTCCACAATAGACCATATCATGGTGCTCGAGACAACCCTGGGTGTGTGTGTGTGTGTGTGTGTGTGTGTGTGTGTGTGTGTGTGTGTGTGTGTGTGTGTGTGTGTGTGTGTGTGTGTGTGTGTGTGTGTACATACATACGCACACACACACAAACATTTATATATATATATATATGTGTGTGTGTGTGTGTGTGTGTGTGTTTGTTTACATATATATTATATGTATATGTATATATACACACATGAGTGTGTGTGTGTTTGTATATATGTATATACATATGCATATACATATACATATATATATATATATATATATATATATATATATATATATATATATACATATATACATGTATCAATTCACAATAAATGTGTGTTTGTGTGTGTATATGTATATATATATATATATATATATATATATATATATATATATATATATATACCCACACACACACACAAACACACTCACGCACGCGAATATTTGGTGAGTTTGTATATATATATATATATATATATATATATATATATATATATATATGTATATATATATATATACAAAAAAAACACGCACACACACACCCATGCGTGTGTGTGCGTGTTTTTTTTTTGTATATATACACACACACACGTGTGTGTGTGTGTGTATGACAATGTGTGTGTATGTGTGTGAGCAGATAGAGATAGATATAGATATAGATGTATACATACATACGTACACACAAAAACACACTCACAAAACACACACATATATGTATATGTATATGTATATATATATATATATATATATATATATATTCATATATTCACACATACATATACGTGTGTGTGTGCGTGGGGGGGGGTGTAATCAACAGTAAGAAAAGTGTAGCAACTATCTAGAAAAAGCTTTAGTTGACGGAGTTAGCGAGCGAGAGAGATTCAAGGCGAAATACGGATACAAAAAGTGCAATGAGAAAAGCCATGTCATCAGGACGCAGACAGCGAAAGTCACCTGAACGGGCTCCGGGTGCGAGGGCTCGGGCTTGTCCTCCGGGATGGGGATCGTCCAAGGGCTCAGCTGGTCGTGCTCGCAGTGGCCGCCCAGCAGCCAGCCGCACACCGTCTCGTGGTCGTGCTCCGTTTTGTTGAGGACGTAAAGAACTTCTGCCTGCGCATGTGTGGTTAGTCAGCTATTTGCAAGATAAGAAATGCTTAAATACACTAAGCTGGAAAAAAATGGATAACGGTCCTATATGTTCAAGATACTTTTTCTCATATACATGTTTATGTTTTAACATTTCTTTTTTTAAATAGAATATTTTACATTAGTAAGTATGATGCTTCTTAACTGAAAAAGTCTATACAAAGTTTCCCAGGCGAAGACTTTGGTCTTTGCTTTATTTGTTACGATAAAATGATATATATACAATTATGAATGTTTATATATATATATATATATATATATATATATATATATAT